TTATGCTTGAAAGATCAAAGTTACCTTTTTGGAAAAACGTTACAGAAAAAATCAAAGAAGAATTTAATACGAATGTTATAGCGGTGCAATATTAAGCAAAGTTTAAAGGGATGATTAAGGATTGTAAAGTAAGTAAAAACCTGATTAAGAAAGCAAACGATCTAATTGTATAAAATAAAATTATAAACAATCAATATTTTTAGTTATTTGAATTTTATGTGAAAGGAAATCTGAAAGGAAGGTGAAGTAAAGTTAGTGAAAAATATGGAGAGCAATTTAAATTTCCATTTTGGAAAAAATCTGGTAAGCATTTAAAAATATATTCTGTTTGATATTTATAGTTAAATTCAAGCTTTTTATTTTTAGCTTCTCAAGTAGAAGAAAGAAGGTGATCTGAATTAGAATGCTGTAAGTTTTGTTATTTAAGTTTCAAATATTTTAAACTTATTTTAAACTAAATTTTATATTTACTTTACTAGAAAATTTAAATAATTCTTGTTCTTCCAATACTTCTTCTTCACAAAGATTACATCACCATCTTCACAAACTATAAATTTCTCTACATAATTCTTTTTTTTAAATCTAATTATCACTCTAACTATTAACATTTTTTTTTTTAAAACAAACTTTTAACTATCACTCTCTTCAACTATTGTCATTCCTTTTTCTTTTTCCATTTTCTCTTTTAATTTCACATTCAGTTTTTTTTATAGTTTTTTTTTTCTGATTTTCGTTAAAAAAAATTTTTTTTTCCTAAATGAAGCTTGCAACCTCTACGCGGTGTTTAAGATCAATAGTTATAGGCTAACTATATCTGGCAAAGAGTAAGCATATTTTAACAATTATAAATTTATTCGATTTGTAGTTTTATTTTTTTATTTTATTTATGTATCATTATTGTAATAAATAATAGAACTAATTAATATACAAAAAAAATAATTTGTTATTAAAATTCTATTTTGTTAGTTTCAAAAACTAATACTTTTTCAAATTCTTTTTAGATAAATAATGATAAAAACTTTATTATTTAGATTCTTCTAAATAAGTTATTAACTATAGTTGAAACTGCAGCTGAAAATTCAATTAAAGCATCAGTTGAACTAATGGTCTAACCATATTGAATCACGTGATAAAAACTGATATTTATCGTGATTCTTAATCTTGAAACTAAACCAAATCAGTTCGATTATACAATCAGTTTAAAACCGGTTTATCTTTAACTATTAACATCTCTAAGTATATTTTTATTTTCTTTTCATTTATTATTTATTTTTTTTTTGATAAATCTTATAGGCAATTTTTCTTTTCTTAGAAAAACTTTCATCATTTATTTTGAAAATGTAGAAGCAAATTGTTATTTTTTAAAATACTTTTAATAGTATTACAATTCTTAGATATCATGATAGTTTTAATATATATGTATAAATGAGTTTAATATTAACTATTTTTGTTTAGACAAATATTATGATTATGTTATATTAGTAATACAATTATAATATTAATAAATAATATTAGTAATACTAATACTAATGTTTACTTTATTACAGTATGTTTATATAACTTAAAGTTATTTGTATATATTTATAGAATTTAAAAAAATAATGCTTTATAATATTAGATCATTAGATCTTTTAGATAAAAATATTTATTTTAAGATAAAAAAACTAATAAAGATACTAAGAAAGACATTTAATTAATCATGAATAATTTGTTAAGCTGTAAAAACTTTAAAAAATAAACATCAGAATAAGTAAGATTTTTATGAATTAAAAATCAATATAATAGACTTTCTATAAATAATGAATAAGTTTGCAACTTGAAAATATTATATATTTTATATTATTTTATTTTCTGATATATAAAAGTTAATATTAAATAAAATAAAATTGATTAATAATATTATTCGCCATAAAAATAAAAAAAAATACTGCAAGATAAATTTATTTAAAATAATATGTTATTTTTTTTTCAAAAAAAATGTTGATATATAAAATTAATAAATTGTTTAATAATATTATTCGCTAAAAAAAAATTACGAAAAACGTGTCTTTTACCATAAAAAAAAAAGTTACGCAAGTTCATAAATTATTTTTCATGATACATTTCTAAATTTAGTAAATAACCAACCTGTAATAGAGAAAAAAATAAATAAATTCTTATCCTTTTTCTGTTTCTGTTCTCTCTTCTCTCTTCTCTCTTCCTTCTCTCCCCTCTTCCCAAGACACATTCTGTTTTTGTGTCCCACTCTCTACGCACACATGAATAAAAAACAAACTTTTTATTTTATATAAACTTTTTTTTCGCTGAAGTTCTTTGAAAAACAGCATGTAAAAGGTCTACTGGTTCTGGATGAAGAATTGGTTATGTACCTTCCTTTTATGGTCGAAAGAGCTTCAACCAGAACAAACTGGTCACCAAACTTCCAGAACGGATAACTGGATACCAAAACCGCCCAGAAAGTGACAGAACTGGGTAAACAAACCGCCAAAGAAGGAATATCTTGGGGGCTAACGAATATAAAAAAAATAAAAATAAAAATAAAAAATAAAAAATAAAAATAAAAAAATAAAAAAAAACTAAAGGCAGGGTTGGAAAGTACATATTAGTACAATGATTAGTACGTTAGTATAGTTAGTACATTTAATAATCTAGTACATACAAAATTCCCAACCCTGCCCAAAAGCACTCTCTCCTTGCATCGTTGAGTTTAGATAGAGGAACTTTGCTTGGTAGATGAGAGCTCCATTTTTTGGGTTGCGATTAGTACTGACGTCCTCGTCGTGCAACCTGGGTACTAGTATATCCTAGTAGCGAACAAGTACTATTATATGTTCCAGTTCAAATTTTATGTTTTAATTTTTTCGTTTTCTTTAGGTAGATTATTCGTAGACAAGTTTGTGTTTTGATTTTTGTATATATACCTGTAAATTTTGGACATTAACTAAATAAATCAATGATCCTTTTCTTTAACGTGGTCAATTTTTATTCAATTTATTAAATAATGATGAAATCAAGTAAATAAGAATCTGACTAAAAAAGCTTATTATTATTTATAATAGTTTATAGCTTAATAGTTTGTTATTAATAATATAAATTCATCTTCCCTTTTTTTTTTTTAAAAAAAAAAAAACTTTGCATTACTTACTCTCTCTTTCTCTCACTTAATTTCATAGGCACGCACTGTCAGTTAATGATGAACGAACCGGAACCAGAATCTTATGTTATCCAGTTGCCATCAAAGAAATTCAAATCAAAGAGAGTACAACTTGCAGATCAAGCTGCGGAAGAAAGAAAAAATGATTTTCCTCAACCAAAGAAAACTTTTAACCGTAAACCTTATCATAAGAGAACACCAAAATGGCAACAAAGGAAAAACAGTAATTGGAAAAAAGCTTCAAATGATGAATTAGAAAGAGATACAGATGATAACCCTCAAAAAAAAAAGACTTACATTACCATCAAAATCTTATCCAAATCGATGGAATAATAATTATTCAAAACAAATAGATGAAGCTGGTATAATCGCTACAGCTGCCAAAAGGCCAGTTGAAGATCGAAGTCAACGATCATTTGATACTTTTATGTTTGGAAGTCGTTCAGTTCTTCAAGACCCACCAGTTATTAAATCTGGAGATCATAGATTTAAATATAAATCTGTTCAAGAACTTATTGATTCCGCTACTGTACCTAATAAATATCCTGTGAATGATATGACTGGTACATATCAAAGATCGATGATAAGTGCTAGACTTGGTGTGGGTTCAACCTCATTAAGGTCTCCATTGGAAAGACGACATGCTTCTTCCATGGTTCCAGTTTTACCTAACGAGGAAAGTCAAAAGCACTTCATAAAATCTACATATTTCTCCATACCTGAGTTAAATGAACATACTTCGATGCATTCTTTGTTTAATGATGATACCTTTGGTAAGGAAAAATCGGTTGATATTGACAACGATTATTTTCCACATTCTTCGTCGTCGACGGAAGATATAGAACAGTTTAACACCCTAAAAAGGTCACGTAATGAATCTGCCAACCAGATAGAATCAAGGAAATGTATTGCAGGACCAATCAGTCGACTTCCCCTGGTAAAAAAAAAAAAAAGTTTTTCAATGATTTTATATTAAATGGTAAAGGTTTAATTTTTTTTGTATTAGCCACTTTCACAAGTAACAAAATCGGCGGACATCTAATGAGCCGCCATTATTGGAAAACGTTATGGCGCGGTATCGCTGTAAACGCGAAAAAACTCTGAAAGATGAATCAAAAATTACCGAGGAACAATGGTTCAATACGATTGCACTACTTGAATTACGTAAGAAGTTCCTTTCCGATGATGCTTATTTTTAATTAATTAGATTTAATTAATTAATTAAACTTTTATTGTCATCACCTAGCCAAAACATTGATCAAAAGCACGTTGCAAGCTCTTCAAGAAAAGAAAGGTTCACGAAATGTAGGAATCATTGTAGGACAGATTAGTGATGTTCATTACTTTAATTTTTTTTGCATTATGAAACTTATTCATCACAAAATACATGTAACAAAATTTTTCTACTAAAACTACCTAAACAATAAACTAATCCTAAAACCTATTCCTAATGAATTATTGATAATCACATGACAAAGTTAATAGTATTATGTGCCTTTATAGGAGAACAAACAAATAAATAAATCGATAGATTTCTATAAATATTTAACAATTAATCTCCATACTTTATTATATTATTTAACATTAAAAGCATATAAATGTTTCTATAATTATTGTTATTATAACCTTCTAGTGTACTTTTACATTAATAAATTCTTTAAAAAGTTAATAATAGATTTTTTTTATTCGGTTTTGTGCAAAAAAGCCTCAAACTAAAAATATCATAAATAAAACCACTCCTTTTTTAAAAAAAAAATACAAGGAAAAATTTGTACAATAAGATCATAATTGCAGCAAAGCAAAAAAATCTATGTACATCTTCGATTTAAAATTATGTAATAAAGGTTTAATTTAACCAACCGGGACCTACTTCTTCAAATTCAACCTTCTCATCGTTGTCTGTAAAAAGTTTAAAAGAATCTTCATTTTTAATCAATATATCCGCTTCTCGACTTAAAATTTCCGGATCTTCTTCCAAATCGGATCCAACATCATCCCAAATCTCTTTGATCACTCGATGATCTATGAAGTTAAATATCTCATCAATGACCGTGGAAGTTACGTACTCATTAAGTTCGGATCCTGATTCAATTACAAATTCTTTATATTAGAATTCTTTTAATAATCGCATAATAAGATGAAATTGTTTTGATAATTAATTAATTAAATTACCTGATGAAACTGAAATGCAACCGAACCTAGGATCAATGACTTCTTGACCGATCGGCTGATCGGACATAATCCAATTTCTACAACGCTATAATGGTTTATCATTGCATTAATGTTCTATATTATTTACCGTAAGTAAAATTTAATAATTTTTTACCTCTCGAATCCAAACTTTCATTTTATCGGATTTGACAAAATCAATCGAATGAGTTGATGCGGTAAATTCGACTGCCTTAATCCTGTTTAACAAAGCATCGACTAGATTGGGATGGATGATTTTTTAATAATTTTGACTATGATAGTGATAAAGTAATTTTGACATAAATTACACACAGTTATCTTGAATGGCATCAACCGCACAATGACCTCCATAACTATTTGCGACAACGACAATTTTTTCCGCGGCGGAAGGTCTTTTAAACAACAATAATAAATAAATAAATAAATATATATATATATATATATAAGAAAAAAACTAACACTAAAAGATAGATGATCAGTACAAAATCCTTACATGATAAAGTTTTTAAAAACATAATTCACATGGGCCTCTGGTGATTCACTTCCGGGTATAGTATCAAACGTAACGCTCGTTTTTGGTAGAATCAACTGTGATGGAAAGAAACAAAGTTATCATGAAATGACCGTTTCAAATAAATCCACGACATAGGATATTATTAACACAAGATACGTACTACTCCCTTACCCTTATACCAAAACACTTCATTCGGATTCGTAATTACAACCGAAAATCCCAATTCCCTGGCGCGTTTTGTATAGGTGATCATAGAACCATCCTTTTTTGATGAATTATCACATAGTTAACTAGATTTACTTACCATGATATATATATATAACTAATGTAAAAGCATCTAGATTTTTTAACGAACCATGACAGAAGAATCCGAGAGCACTCTTCTCGACCAAATCCCAACTCTGTTTTTCATCAAGTTAATGTTAGATCAAAAAAAGTGATCTTCAGTTCGGTTATAAAAATCATAGAAAGTTGATCAATTTACTTGTGAGATGTTCCAGGGATAAAGACAATCAATTTATCGTTTGTCATATAATCCTGACTAGATCAACACCAGCTTGATTTTAATGATTATGCCGAAAATAAATAAAATAAATAAAGAAAAAAAAAATTTATAAAGTTTATATAAACGGACTTCACCTTAAATAAATCTTGCTGTGTATATCCTCTTCTGTTGCGCCTAATGGTAGCAAAGTTTTGATCAACCCACAATCCTTCTTGAGCTTTTCTTCTGACATTTCACAAAGGATATCTAAAATTCATGATTTTGTGAGATATACCGTATTATTTATCAAATCAATCACAAGTTCGTTATATCGTACCTATCAACGTGTCATATAGGCCTTCATTATATTCCCTGTCTTTTTTCACCTCAAACGTATAAGGTTCGCCTAAATTGAACGTCAAAAGTAAGAATCGCGTTTGAATTCTACATGAAAAAAATCTCTAAAACTTACCTGCTAACGTTCTTAGTCTTCCTTCCTCGTCAATAAAATAACCAAGTTCTTTCAAGTCGCGCGAAAAGGTATTAACGATCTTCTTGGATTTTTTCTTTCTAAACATTTTATTTAAATTTTATCTTATTTTATTTTTTTGCTGAGTGAAAAGAAGCCTCTTTAATTTATTTATATTTTCGTGTTATTATGGTCATTTATGGAAAAATCGTGATGTCGTTGATGCTCATCATGCATATGACTTTTGGCCAAAATCAAGGTAAATTTGTCAGGTGAAGTTAAAATGATTTCCCACATAGAAACTAGTTTATGCATCACTTAAGCGTCGGACATAAAAAATTTCTTGATTCAAATCAAGCCAATAAAAGGTTTCCATGTTTTTGAAATTTTGTGGAGGAAAAAAAAACATTACGGCAGAGAAGATAATCTTCCCCGCCATAACGATTTGATGTTATTTTGATGTTATTGTTCATATTTGTTCGTTATTCCACGGAATTCCGCGGCAAATTTCGGGGTTGTCAAAAAAAACCCCCACATGCATGTATTGGGTCAGGTTCCGTAATCCCTTAAGATGAAAACAAAATCTTGCGTAATTTATAATCAAAAAGTCAAAACGATACATTAAATAAGAATCCAAATAAAGGAGTGATAAACTGGATCAAACTTGTCATAATAAATATTATTTTTAAAAATCTGATCAACGAGACATTATGTCGTGTCTTGACGATCAAACAGAATCTTACATATTTTCGACAAGATGCATTAAATATTATTATCTTGAAAAATTTTAAGTTCATCCACCAAGATTTGATTGTGGTGAAACCTATTTTTGGAAATTTATCATTTTTTTTTTCGCGCTAACTGTTTTCGAATCACAATCATAAATTAAATAAACACTTGAAAAATCACCACACTGCAGGATGAAAAATAATAATGCGCATACCAATAAAAAATATAATTTTTTTACTCTATCTTACAAATTTTATTATATTTTTTTGTGAATTGTTTGTATAATTGAAAAAGAAAAAGAAAGAAAAAAGTAGTAGAAAAAAAGAAAAGAAAAATGACTATATATAAAAAGAAAAAAGAATACCAAATCAGAATCATACAACGCGTCTATTACGTTGGTACAAATAAAATCTAATACTCTTTGAAAAAATGTAAAAGAAAAAAAAAGTTCCCACCCAAATAAATTTAAATCCGAATTTCACACAAGTTTTTTTTAAAAATATTTTGTTTGACTTCCTTTTCTATTTCCTCTCTCCTATCTTTTTTTTTTTTTAAGTCTAAAATAAATCCTGAAAGATTCTAAAAGTCCATCGAGAGGGTAATAAAAAAAAAGAAGTATTGCTTGAAACAGCATAAAAAAAGAAAAAAAAAAAGAAAAATATACTAAAGAAGAAAAGAAAAAAAGTAAAAAAAGTTGAATAAAGCAAAAAATGTTTTTGATTTTTTTGAATTTTTTTTTGAAATTTTTTTTTTAAAAAAAAAGCTTACACAAGCAAAAAGAAAGAAAATAATATGCAAAAAAAAGGCACACGAGCTATACAAATTTATAATTTTTTGTCTCGTTTTTTTTTAAAATCCTGTAGATGATAAAAAAAAAGGAAAGACCATCCTTAGATTTATATATATATAAATGCAAAAGAAAAAAAAGAAAATCATCTAACAAAAATCTCATTCCCAACCGCCATTACCAGTAAGTTCTTCGGTTGCAGGAGGTTCGTCCCTTCGATATTCGTAACGTCGAGCACTAATTGAGTTTGACTCTTCTGCGGGTGTACTGACACCGCTATCAGGTGATGGAGTGTGTAATACGGTGCTCTGTTCGAAATAACGATCCAAACCTTCGGTGGTTGGCGTTGTTGTTCCAGTTGCAGGACCTCCATTATTGTTGGTAGCCGATGTGTAATGGTGCGGACTTCCTTGTGCATTTGTTACCATTTGAAGATTACTATTGGTATAACCTTGTGGAGTAGAAGGGTTTGCACCTGGAGTCGCTGGCCCAGTTCCTAAGACTGGTAACTGATATCCAGCTGTGCGTGGTGAAGATTGAGCGGATGATGGAGTTGTGGCCTCGGGGAATTGTTCGTATTTTACACGTTTACCGGAATGATTCCATCCAGTGAAGGCTGAATTTCCGGGGGATGAATTTGGGCTCACATGCATTGGGCTTGGGAAAGAACCTGCGGCCACATTCATTGCAGTACTGACAGCGATGCTGCTCATTGGAGGTGGAGGATGCATTGCAAGCGGTGGACTTGGCTGACTTGAATTATTAACGGTATTATAATCATCGCCTTCTTCTTCAACGTAGTTACGCTTTTGACCAATCAGTTGAGGTGAACCACCTTGAGCGGGACTTCCTACAACACCATCGGCAGCTGAACCAAGATTATAAAGTCCTTGGCCGGATCGTATGTAACCGTTACCGTTACTAGCATTATTATCCTCATTCTTTACGTGGGTATTATATAAATTTGGGGAGTTAGTACTACTTCGATTAATGGAAACGTCATAAGTAGACGGTGGTGGTGTTGGTCTTTGCTGAGCAAAATACCCCGGGTTTTGTGGGATAGCATAAAAACCAGCCGTCGATGAATTCTTGAATTCGGTAGGTGAGAGATTATAACTACTCACCGCCGGACCCGATACCACAGTAACTCCTTGCTGTCCTTGAGACTGTCCATTTATCAAGCCATAACTTGTTTCGTACTCCTCAAGATGAGCTTGGGGATGAGCGTTGTGATTTCTCGTTGGATGATGAGATGAATATATCGGTACAGCAGGTGGTGTTGCCACATTAGCGGAACGATCTGGATAGCCTGAATTTGGTGGATATGGTGCCGAACCATGCTCTTGGCCCTGTGGTGTAGAAGGTGATCCCATTAGATTACCATTTCCATAAGGATACCATTGTCGGGTTGGTTCTGAATACGGGGCTGCATTATTAAAATTGTTTGCATATGGATGGTTGGGTCTCCATTGTGAAGCGGGACCTCCACCTATTGATGGGATTCTTGTGGACATTGGGGGACCGTATGAGTTGTGTAAGAAGATACTAGGATCATCCACGAACAATGGATAAAGCAATTCACTGATCTTGAATTGTGCTGCGAGCGTTTTCGCGCGCTGAAAAGTAATCCTTTTTAAAGAATCAAAAAAAAAAATCGTTAAAATGAGAACCGCGAGAAAAAGTATCAATCAATGGAAAAGGAAACGCGCGCTTACCAAACACCTTTAAGATGCATAGCTCCAACTTTGACCACCACCCTTCCTTTCTCATTCTTTAAGATACCATCACGTTTACCACGTGACATACCGACAACATTTAAAAGTTTTGTTCCGTTGATCATATCATTATCTTTTTTTTTTTTTGAAAATCACGATGCAAGGAAAATCGGATCATTTGATGAATTGATTTCATGATGATCATAAGGACGACGCGTGAGAGGAAAAGGGGACAGTGTTAGTTTCAGGAGTTAAAATGAAGCGTGAAAATCCGCAAGAGGATTTAAAAAATCAACGTGATAATCATTGTTTTTAAAAACGGTACCTTGTCGTCTCGCCACGCAGATACCTCTAGCATCAACTTGATAACACAACGTTCCCTCATCTTCCCATATGGTTGTGGTAAGCTTTGGTCTTGGAGCATGACCTGGAGCAATATTTGAAGTTGCAGGGCTATAACCTACAGCAGGAACAAAAGCGCTACCACCATTAGCCGATAAAACCGTGGTACCATTCGCACCATTAAAACCCCACTGGTTTGGCCAAAATGGGTGTGTGGTTGGGTTTGCGAAATGTGTATGAGGTGGGTAGATCAAGGTGGTGCTGCCGCTGTTGTCCAAGTGAGAAGTAGTCATCATTGTGGAAGCTTCTTGTTGTGAAGAAATGGAGTTCTTTGTCGCAGTAGGAGTTGTTACGGGAGTAGGATGTTGTTGCTGTGGAATTTGATTATAAGGAGAAAAGGCGGAGTGAGGCAAGGAAGCAGGACTAGTTTGAGTAGCTGTCGAGGTTAATGAACGTGAACCAGCGGGTGAGTTTGGGTTGCTGGAGGTGGTATTATTCGAGGTTTGAGTATTCGTCGTCGTGGTGGAGGTAGTGGTGTTAGAGGAGGAAATTCGAGATTCGGTTTTGATGCCTGGCGTCGTCGTCTTGGTGTTTGAGAGTGAAGGAGCCGGAGAAGTCGGCGTGGAAGGGTGTTGTTTCGTTTGAGTGTAGTGAGCGCTGGCAGTTGTTAATGCAGTATTGTTGTTAGATGAATCGGTAAAAAGCTTATTTGAATTCTGGAAACCAGCCATAAATGAAAAGTATGTCGCGTATGTCTATGTAAGCGTCTGTATGTACCGCCAATCTGTTTTTGTATTATTATTATTTTTTTTTATATATATATATATTTTTTTCAACAACTCGTTTTGGGATAAAAGATATTTTGTTTTCTTGAGTTTCAATGGTATTTGGTTGGTTGGTTGGTTGGTTAGGTAGGAAGATTTTTTGAGGTGTGGCGTGAGAAAATTAAATTTTTTTTTTTTTTTTTTGAAATAGGATTGGACGGTGTATGTGGTAATAATAAAAAAAAACTATATAGAAAGGGAATATATAATATAATAATAAGGGGTTTATAATTTATTAAAAAAAAAAATGATATATACCAAAAGTGATAAGATCCGATAATTAGTTTTCCTGTTTCGAGGAGGTTCGATATGGCCTAGAATACTCTAAAAATAAATAAATAATAGAATCCGTTATTATTATAGGTCACAAACATATTTTAAAGAAAAAATTATATATTTCGATAAAGGCTGCGAGCAAAATAGCTAAATAAGTGATTCAAGAAAGCGGTTTAAGTTTCAAAAAATAGTCACAAGTTTGAACACGTACAACACCAAAAAAAAAATTAAATAAAAAAGAGCAGATGAATGATGGCAGATTCTCGAACAGAGTGAAAAAAGTTGAAAAAGAGTAAAGGAACGAGTGGGGAAGGGATATAATAAGATAGATTTATAATAATTATAATATATAATAAATCAAAATCAAAAAAAATTATTTAAAAAAATCTCTCTATAATAAAAGAATTATTGTGTAGTGCAAAAAAATAAATAGTGAACAAACCAAATACAGAAGATAAGAGAAAAAAATACGTACCGAAAATAGAATGAGGTATGACCGAAAGTCTGCTGTTCTCTTTTTGGGAGTGTGTTACCGTTGAAACAACACTTGTCTCTTTTTGCTTTGAATAATTTTTTTTTCCTTTGGTTTTGTCTTTTTTCAAAAAAAGATTTGTATTTGAATTACTTGTATCAACAAGAGGGTTAGGGTTGCTTATTATATAGGGGCGACAAAAAGTTGATTGATTATATTATTCGGAGAAAAAAAAGGTTTTCGAATATGGGAAATTATAAGTGATGTTAATAATCGGCGTGTGAAAAGATTTTTGATTGTATAATAATATTCTATAAGACAGTTTAATGATGATAAAGAAAGAAAAAAAAAGATTTGATTTAATTTTTTTTTATTCTTTTGGTATTGGAATGAGAAATTAGTATGTATGTATATATATTTATAAAATTCTCTTGTGCTTTTGCTTGTCTTTTATAGCAGAAGCGTTCTATAAGTTCTATTAAGAGGTCTATAAGATTGTAATAGTATACAGGAGAAATGAAAAAAAGAAATCAACACTAGATTCTTCGAAATTAAGAGAATTAAAAGAAAAAGATTAAATATTATTATTATCAAACAAGAATTGAAAAGAAATAATTTTTGTTTTTTTTTTTTTATAAAAAAGAGAAGAATAATCTTTCTTTTTGGCAGACAAAAGCGTTTTTCGTTCTTTTGCCTGTGTATTTATTAATTTTTTTTTAAATAAAATATGTTTTTGATTCGATTGAAAAACAGCCCGGGTAACGGAGTGAACTAATATATATATATAAATATAAAATTATATTCACCAGTATTCTGTACAATAATTTTTTATGTGGAGGAAAGAAAGGGGGTTTGGAAAAGGAGATGCAAGAAAGTCTATGATTTATATCAACGAAAGGGGATGAGATATCGTAAATAAAATAATTATATAATATATAATGTATCTAATATATATTTGGTATTATTTATGTTTATAATGTAGTTGCTACAGTTGCTACATCAACAAATATATTAAAAATTAGAGTAGGAAAATTAGAGTAATTAAAAGAAAATAAAAAAATAAAAAAATATGATTTATTGGGAAAAACCTGGAGGAAAAAAATAGGGGTTAAAAAACTAAACCATTTAATATATTAATTATGTTTAAAAAGTTTTTTTTTTTTAAACCAACAAATGATTTCAATATGATTCGCAAGAAGGAGTTTCATATACGAAGGAGGTTATTTTCAATTGGTGCCAGTTTATGAAAAGAGGGCCAATGTAACCTGAACCAATTGTGAAGGTGATTTTTTTTATTTTTTATTACAAAAAAAAAAAAATGTATATACAAACAAAAAAAAATATAATAATAATAATTTTTTTTTTCTTGACCTTTTTTTTTCCCTTACACATCTGAAAAAAAATTTTTGTGTTTGTGTCCCTTCATTTGTGTTTGTGTTCTTCATTTTATTTACAAAAAAAAAAAAAAAATTCCATTTGTCCTTTTTTGTCCATTTCCTGTTTCCAACAGAATTTTATTTTATTTTATTCTTCTTGTGTTTCAAACTTCATTGATTAAAGTGTCGATTAATTTCTACTTTGGGTTTTTTTTTACATTAAATTTTTTATCAGAATTTAATATTCTCTTTATCTACTACAATCTCTACAAAATCCAAATTATATAATTCTTTTTTGATTTACTTGATTTGATCATTTTTTTTTTTTTTAATAAAAAAAAAAAACGGCGAAAGGCGGAATTCCTCACCAAAAAGAAAAAAAAATTTAATTATTACATTCTTTTGTTCTTCATTTGTAAATTCTTTCTTTTTTTTTCTTTTTTCTCGTAAAATAAGAGGTCTGACAAAAAAGCGAAAGAGCGTAAAATAACCAATTCCCTTATCTATTTTTTTTTTTTTTTAAAAAAAAGGGAATCAAAATAAATCAAAAATAAAAACATTCTACCACCGAAAAATGTGTAATAAAGTTTTTTTTAAGTGCTGGAAAATCTGTAAAGAGCTGTAATGTAGAATTTACCTGAACCTTTTTTAAAACCGATAAAACAAATATTTATTGAAAATCTACCGCAAAAATGAACATCTATTGTAGTTGCAGTAATAGTTGCAGCAATAGTCGCATTTCGTTGCAGCCTTAAAAAACTACAATAAGAACATATTTTTCTAAAGGTGAATAATTGTGAAAAAAAAGCGCTATTCCAGATATGGTACTCGCATAACCGACAATTGTTTTAAGAAAAAAAAAGATCAAAGGAAAAAATGGCACGAGACATCCGCCGAAAAAAAAAAAATACACAAAAAATTCATCTTTTCCATTCCCGATATTTATTATTAACCATAAATAATTAACCAAAGAATCACCAATAGGTAATTTATCATTATGAGAGCAAATATTTTATTAAAAAAAACCCTATCTTCTATATGTGGATTTCTGAGCGTAACAAGCGCTATACGACAAACTATATTTAAGAATGTGTCTGATTGGGCAATCAGGAACGTATTGTCATTTTAGGTTTCCGTTTATTTCATACGTTCGTATTTTCTATCGATAATGATCTCGTACAAGTAGTGATCGAATACGTATGTTATTGAACGTTCTAGGCATAACTTTAAATTAGACTGATTTCGGCATAAAGAAATTACCTAAACCTATAACTAATAAAGATCTAAAAATATTACTATGAACTCGTGAAAATGATCTGAAAAAAAGGTGATCCATCAAAAAAAATTTTTTTATATAAAGGAAATATTTGAATCTATTGTAGTTATGGCGTAGGGGTTAATCTAACAAGGGGGTGTGTCAAATAATATATCGGGTGCAAAGAGATACCATGAATAGATTAGTGGATTAATTTGTACTAGATGATTACTTGTTTACCGAAACTCGATCCTTTTGATTGAAGAAGAAAAAGGTGGAATGAGTTACAATTCGAGTTGTAAAGGTAAGCGCAAAAATAACAAGTTTGACTGGCCATTGTGATTGAAAAAGAATAATGTCTTGAAGAATGGAATGAGTAGGAAAGAGATGTGAGGTTATGCCACTTGCTCATGATTTTTTGATTTTTTTTGCTTTTTAGTTCATGTCAATCGAAAATCAAAAAAAAATAAGCCCATAAAAAAAAATTTTAATTATATTAAAAAATAATTTTTTATTAAAAATATTATTGCATACATTAGGTGTAATGCAAGATCGTCTTCACTTTGCCTATCTCAAAATACTTCAAAAAAAAATTTTTTTTTATTTCGAAACAATCAAAATGTTCCAAAAGTGAATTTCCCTAAACATCATGATGCAAAGTCATATGCCAATCGCATCATCCATGTTCCATGAAATCGTAGGAAAATAAATGGTTTATATTTTATTAAATTCTGGAAAAAATAAAAAAAATATCATAATCATAAACATTTTGGTAAATTAGACCCTGCCTAAAGATTCACCCAAAAAAAATAAATATCCAAATTTTATTACAATTGTGTATGTACATCAATTTATCAAAAGTGACAAACGGGATACTCATTACATTACATAACAATTTACCACTTACATGCGTTATTAAATTACCATGTTGCACATGAAGCCTGTAAACAATAAATAAATCATACTAGTTTTTATTATTATTATTATTATCATCATTACAATTAACCAACGATTTTTTTTGGTAGATTCAGCAAGTAAGCGGCAACAAAATGTCCTTATTGTCAAAACAAAACGGCGTAGCAATAATTAAGCGGCAGACGAAAATTTATTAATAGTTAGTTTATTTAATTTTAACGCTTTGCTGGATTGTTGTTTGCTGTTTTACCGTTTATTTCTCTCCAAATAAAGCAAAAGTGATTTGCTTGCCCTTTTTTTTATAAAAAAAAAAACATAAACAACTATGCACATTTAAATTATTAGTTTGTAAATTACATTTGTAAAAAACGCGCATGTATTAGGAGATTTTTTATGGTAAAAAACAAGAATCCATCGTTACATCTACTGCGGAATTTAAAAACAAGGGTTTTTGAGGAGGAGAGGTAAGAATTTTTCATGGTAAAATATAACGCAAGTAACAGAGGTGTGGTATCGTAAGATCTCGGGATATCTATCACACACAAAATAGCCGGGGTAACCTGTGTAAGCGTAATGCAAAATATGGTAATTTGATATATGGGTTATTCTTAAT